CTAGATTTTCCATTTATTGATCCTGGACGAAAATCAGTCAAAGAATTAAATTTAATCTGATCTCATCAGCAGATTGGGAATCAACCCTGAAAACAAAAGGAAAAAAAAATCTTGCCCTGACGTTCAACAAAATTCAGGCTCGTATATATCCTGTTGCTACTAATTTCTAGCATCATTTGCATTCAATTTGTTAAAAAAACAAACAACAGAAGAAGAGTACATATACAGGGAAGAAGGTCACGTGTGCGAACTTTAAAGGAAATTTGGTCACGTTCATCGATATTACAAAGTGATCCCCACAGGAAATTTGTGCGGCGACGGAATCGGACTGAGGAAGGAGATCATTGACTTTGGTACCTGGAATGATCAAATTACTGAAAGAAAGCGATTATTTTTTCTGCTTTTTTTTTTCTTTTCTCTCTTTTTTTTTCTCTGATTGTAATTAGTATAAATTCATTGTTCTATCCAGAGGAGAGAAAAAAAAGAAGAAAACACACAAGTTTTATGAATAACAACGTTGAATTCAAACCATTATATTAGAAGTTAAAATCATTGCGCCCTAATGTCTGTAGTAAAAGCCGAACGAACCAGACCTTTTTTTCGACGACCAAGACATTTTGTCATTATATAGAGTATTACTTGCTAATGTAAACTTCGCCCTAAATCAGCTATCCTCAGAGAGCTATTGCGAGTTTGATCCACACAAGGTGACACACACTTTCTGCTTTGTGTCTTATTAAACTAAGCTTAAGAATATTATACATATATATATATATATAATAATAATAATATAATATTAATAAGAATATTATATATATATATATATATATATATATATATATATGTATATTGTTACGACCCCCCACCTAAATTTATTATAAAAACTATAGCATTGCTTATATTTTAGAAGCATTCTAAAATAAAGAGCCCAGTACTTGCAGAAACATAGAGGTAGTAAGCCCAAAGAGAGAGGTAGACTTAGTGGCGACAAAGATTAATCCGAATGAATCCTTTCTTTCTCTTTTGGTCAACGTGCTGACCATATGATTTACATTGATAGATTCCAGATAGGAAAGGTTGAAACACTTTTAACTAAACTTTCTCTGACCCCTGCAGTGAGAAAGAGGATCAATGACCACATTTCGACCACATTATATATATTTATATAATTATATTGTTTAGAATTTATTATATTTAATGGGGGTGGGGATAGAGTTTATTAGTTTAAATGTCTGAAATTTCATAATTCTTTTTGTGTCGTGTCTCTTCAGGACGTTAGGGGTTATGGCTCTCCACATTTTCTATTCTTTGTAGCGCTTAACAACTGTCCTTTTTGTTGCTATTGTCCCTAAGACTTCGTCGTTTCTCACATGTTCGGTCCATAGTATTCTGGGCATCCTTATGAAACATGTAATTTTTCAGAAGGATGCCGAAGTTTCCAGAACGATGCTTGAAGTTTCTTCTTCATCTGTACTCTTTTCTTTGTTTCTAACGAGATTTTTCTTAATACTTTGCTTAGCTTTTCGAAGGCATATTTCACTACCCCAATGCTGCTTCGGATTTCTGTCAATACGCTTCCCAAATATCTAAATTGTTGCACCTGCTTAATTTCGGTATCTCCAGTCTGTAATTTGCATGTTGAACTGTTCTTTTTGCTGGCAATCATGCATTCAGTATTCTTGTAATAGATATTTAGTCCGTTCTTCTCGCTTTCCTTCTTTATCTCCTGTAGGAGTTCTTAAAGTTTTCCTTCCATGTCTGCTATCACTGCGTCATCTGCAAATCTTATGTTGTTAAGATTATGATCGCCAATAATGAATTCTGCTAATTCTCTCAGAAGGGTTTCGCTGTATAAGTTGAAAAGTTCCGGTAAGAAGATGCACCCTTGTCTTACACTCGTTTTTATTTTTTTAATATTTACTGAATACATTTTTTATCTTATGCAGACGGTTTGCTGCCAGTATAAGTGCTGGATTATTCTAATATTCTTCCCAAATATGTCATGGTTAATATTCTAGCAGTTCTTTGTGATGTACTTTATAAAACGCTTTAGATATAGACCCTTCTGCATTTTTCTGATATCATTTTGAGCATAAATATAGCATTCCTTGTTCCAGTGTCTTTAACGAAGCGAAGTTTTTATTTTTCCTATTTTCGGACTGATTCTGCTTCTGTTTCATAGCAGAGCAGACTGAACTTGGGTAGTAATCATACTAGGAAAGGGAAAACCAGCCTGAAAACGGATCGGCTTTGTCTTGTAGACTTTCTTTAAACAAACTCACTGCCGCAATGATTGAATGTGGTGCCCAACGATTCTAATGCGTTACACGAATCGTCACCTTCACTATTTCTATAAGCTCCAAAAGCAGGGGAAAAAATCATTGAATAGCAAACATTTCCGGTAATCAGAAATGAACGACTAAAATCTGCAATGTCCACGTTAGATTCGTGTAGGCAACAAAACAAACATATTTCTTAAATTGGAAAGTGTTAAGGAAAGTAGATTGTCAGATCTGCAAGACGGCAAAAGGAACTTGAATAACTAATGCGTTTCGCTTGAACTGATTCGCTATGAAATGATGCATATTTGGGATCCTTGCCAATCGAACAGCGTAATTAGCATTATTCAATTTGCAAATATTTTCCTCTCCTTCGCTTTTTAACTGAACGGCTCATGTCCGATAACAGAATGGAAGACAAAGGATTATCGAATGACACCAAACTGTTCGCATAGAAAGAACCCCATTTTGAAGTTGCAGGTAGAGTTTAATGGTAAAGCTTTAGATTGCTATCACGCAAGGCAAGGGTTCACTTAAACTTTGGCAAACATTATACAGGATGTCCCAGAATTAACTATCTATTTCAATGAAGTAGTCAAATTTGTAAAGAACTGACACAATTTTATGTTTATTACTACATAAATATGATACAAAACAGATTTGAAAATTTTGAACATTCAACAATTTATCCGTTTGTATTTCTGCAAATTTCAAACCTATTGTTGAAACTTGACTAATGCATGGAATAATAATACAACACAAAATGTACTTAGAACAAAATGTATTGAAACAAGAAAGTGTACACAATATTTACATATAGTCTTTTGTATATTCTTGGGAAGACCGTTCCTGGAGAATGCGTTGACTTAGTCGCAGTCGGGCAGTATCTGGATTGAATCTCTTGATTCCTCCCTCGTCTTCCCGGTACCAACCATATTTATATGGTCGGTACTCCACTATGCAAATTAGGTGGATCCTACCACAACACCCATCATTAACCTTACAAAACACATTTTGAAACATTTCACGAGTTATCTCCTGCACTGCTAACAGAATGCGTTCTTTAAGCTATTGATCATTTGATGATAAACCTTTGTTTTTATGAAATCCCATGATTAAAAATCCGAAGGCGGTGAGAGGCACAAAGATGCGTTCTTGTGTATTTATTATTAATAGGGTTCTAAAAGGAAATAAAAATAAAATTAGAAAAAAAAATTATAAAGTTATAAATAAAATTAGAAATTTATACACTTCTAACATATTAAATATGATGGACAGAAATAAAAGGGGATTACGGCCAAATCATGTTAAAACACCGGTTCCCGTACGATCACTGAAGTTAAGCAACATCGAGAATGGCCAGTAACTAGATGAGTGGGAATACCAGGTGCTGTAAGCTTCGATGGGGTGACAGAATGCGTAATGGCTCAGAATTGTTAATCGGAAAGCCGAGTTCCAATTCCGGCCGGTTTCTTTATATTCACTTACGCGCAAATATCCTTGGGAAAGTTAGGAATGTACCTATTCTCCCCCAGCTATGGGTTAATTAGTAAGATCTGTATCATTATAAACATGATTATCTCCAAAGAAAAATAGAATTGCATACAAAATATTTAGATTTTGGCATTAAATAACCTATAGAGGTTGATATGCTACTAAACAAAAATTACCAAATCAGAAATAAAAGAGAGGTTTTTAAAAAGAAAGGCCCGATCTCACTGAAATAGTTAATTCTGTATAACGTACTGTATTTTTCAAGAAGTATATTCTGGTTTCAAACCCAACCTTTTCCCTAGCTATCATTATTTCTTAACACATATCCTCCTGATCTAAGATTAAACTCACACTTTTTTCTACGTATATTTAAACTATAATTTTAAACTATAACTTTGTGAAGTAAGAAATTCACTGAAATATTTTGGAAAATTTTCACTATTTTTTATGAAATCCAGAAAATAAAAACTTAAACCTAGTGGTCAGAATATCTAGAAAAAAAGGCGCAATTTTAAACTGATATCTTGTTATAATGCAGCTTAGCTGGTATAATTTGTAACTTGGGAAAGTGGAAATTTCTCTGAAATATGTTAGAAAATATCCAGGTTTTCTTGTGAAATGAAGAAAACGAGAATTTTATGCATAATGGTCATAATATATGGAAAAAAAAAGCGTCAATTTAAACTGACGGCAGGATGGATATGGATATTTACGTAATATTCAAACTGTCTTGTAGATACGGATACCTACTACTCTTGTAGATGAAAGCAAATACTGGTTGATTAAAGCAACTGAGGCTCAAAGCATATGGCTACACAGGGTAAGAAAAACCAAAATTTGGGATTTAGTGCCATAAAATGTGCTACAGGGATTTATATTCAAAACAATAAATCTGGCAGCTGAGTAGCTATATTAGTCTTCTCAATTATGCATCCGCTTTTATTTCATATGCAATAAATGATTGTGTAAATCACAACAGGATTATGAAATGAAATTATTTAAACTTCATACATGTGAGTAATTTCTTGGAATTGTCAGTCGGTCAACTTTGATAAAACAAATCATTTAAATATATGTTGAGAAAAATAGCTTTTACTTTTTAAGGGAATAATTTTCCAAAGTTTTCACTTGAGATTTTACAAGATGAAAATTAAAATAAAAAAACAAAAAACAAAAAAAACACAGAAATGAAATTAGAATTTCTGCTTCATTATTGCCCGTTATCAAATGAGGCTTGGAGCAGCGTCAACGATACGTGGATTAGTCATTGTGACGCATATCTATCTATCTATCTATCTATCTATCTATCTATCTATCTATCTATCTATTATTTACGTACATGAGTATTGTGTCTAAGCTGAAAGTAAAATAATAACCATTTTTGAATTATGCACTATATTTATTGTATGGAGTTACAAATCTCCAATAAAAATAGATACCTTTACTTATTCTATTTAATAATTAACCTTTAAAATTTCAGTCAAACTACATACGTTTGTTTTTGCTTAGTTAGTCAGATAAGAAACATGCGTGGTACATTCTTGGGCGACCATGTCTCTTTCGATTCATGAGTAGGCTGCTATTTCTTTCTGCAGTAGACTTGAGTTGGCAACAAGTCTTGTTATGCTATATTATTTATAAAATTGTAATATTTGTTAATTTGAATAATTAATTAAATTATAATATTTTAATTAATATTTTAATCGATTTATTATGTTATATTAATATTAAACACATTATTTCATTCTTCTTATTTCTTACTTATTAATTATATATATATATATATATATATATATATATATATATATATAGTTTGACGATTGCGTTTAAGCAAGAAACAGACTGTCGCCGCTGGGTGTTGATTTCACTTTTATATTTACATACGTTCTATCTCTGATACCGAGCACTTTAAATCATAAATATAGTATACCTTAAAATTATATTTTGTCATATATATATATATATATATATATATAACAACTAAAAAGTTGCAAATTTGTAAACAAACCTCTAAAAACAGTTATTTCTGAAGAAAGAACGAGGTCGATCTGAAATATCAAATATAGATAAATACTTTCATAAAAAACATTACTTTTTTTAATTTGCAACTTTTTAGTTGTTTTATATATATATACATATTAAGAAAGTATACGTGACTTCTCATTATATATATATATATATATATATATATATATATATATATATATATATATATATATTACAAAAGGAATATATTGTTTATGTTGCACTAATCACACGCCATGTAAATGTGACATAATTGGTGTTGCCTTCTCAAAGACCACCCACAAAATAACATTATTCTGAGAGTGATCTCAAATCAAAAACTAGTTCCACCTGATGGCCAATACAATAGCCGTCACAATGCGCTTCATACATCTATTTACACTTGTGCACCTAATATAAAGGTGGGCGTGCCCGAGTTGCAAACAAGTGATTGTTAATAGCAAATCGTTGGGGAAGTCTATGAGACTGTCGATAGTCATTCTTTTGAATATCCCTTTGCAATAAGTTAAACAACAGACGAAAGAAAACAATCTCGATTATTTTATTCTTGTAAATGGTCAACCGAACATTTTTATTTGTAAAAGTAAACGAAAAGACACGAGTAATCTGAAACTTTTTTTTTCTTCTGTTCTGAAATGAAATGTTCTCGACTCTGAATGGCTCATCATTGAAAAAGCAGCCAACAAATTTGGCACGTTTACAACAAAATCAATCCCTAAAGGCGTCAACCTATTTACATTTTATGCCGGGAAGACGATTTTGGTCTTTTGTCTGCAGTGGACGAACAAAATGTTGTTGTTTTTTTTGTGTTTTTATTATTATTATTATTATATTTTTATTTTCTTTGATTTCTGGCGTTTACACATTTCTTTCCGGGTCCCGCCCAGGGACCTAAGGTTAGAAATGGCGTCATGACACTTTCCACTGACAAAAAAAAAAAAGATTACATAGATAAAGCCCTTCGTAAGGTGTGGGCTGTACTTGTCAGAACAATTTTCTGTATCTCCTTGAGGCATGGACTTCCAGGTATCCCTTCAATTAGTCTACTGGAATCTTTTCCAACCAGTCCTAGGGCTCCAACTACAACAGGGATTGTTGATGTTCCCATATGCCACATTTTTCGCGATTTCTATTTCAAGGTCCTTGTACTTTGACAACTTTTGAATATCTTCAAAGATACATTGCAGTCGGCAGGGACTGCCATATCAATAAGGAGGCACCGTTTTTGTTTATGGTCTTTAATAACAATATCTGGGCGGTTGGCCTTGATTGTTCTGTCAGTGTGTATTGTGTAGTCCCATAGAATTGTCAGTGTGTATTGTGTAGTCCCATAGAATTGTAACAAATAGAATTGTTATTATTATTATTATTATTATTATTTCTGTACTTTGTACTCCGTGGGCACATGGCCGAATAGTTAAAATGTTAGCGATTCAAACACGAAACCCGTGTTCGAATCTCACTATAGTCGAGTTGTCTTAATATCGACCTCAGTGTGAGGCCCTGTGGAGGCATGTTTGAAAACCATACTACTATTTGGCCCAAACGTGCGAGTGAAATTGTTCGGAAGCCATTGATTGTGTGACATTACAAGTCATCGAGGGTTCAGCTGCTGGCCTTGTCCCCACATGAACATGCCAGATTAAGCGCTCTATCTCAGAAATTGTACCTCATATCCACTCAGCAAATCAGTATAAACCATAGGTTGGTTCTGTGCGTGTTGAAGATACACAAATTTGTTTGAGCAGTCGTTTAAATCAGGGATTAGCTAGCCACACAGGGAGACTCCATAGTCTTCCCGAGACTGACGGATAAATACATCTCTGTTTATAAAATAAAATACATTTATCTGTGCATCATATCTGTTGAGGAGTTCTCCCCTTTTTACACAAATGGACTCACCCAGTATATACATATACTACGGATACGTGAAGACCCGAGAGTGCAAAACCGTCGAGTCGAGTCCAGAGTGAAAGAGTAAAAGGTTCTAGGTAACCGGAAGAGTGAGGGTGAGGTAACAGCGTTGTAGGAGTAACAGTGAGCCAGCACATAGACTCAGTAAGAAGTCATACAGCGATACTTCAATACCAAAGACTGTATATATATTTTGATACTAACCCGTATTCCTGGGACTACTAACCGGCTTTACCAGTTTGTATGATTACGTTAATACATTATTTTCATATATCCATTCCTGGCGTTTGTTATTTATTGGTACCGGATTTCAACCCGGAATCCACAACAATATCTAAAAATCCCTAAAATATTAAAGACTTAAAAATGTCAACAAGATATTTTTTTTTCTTCTTTTTTTTTTTTACTTTTTTAAAAATCAGTTTACCCCCAAGCAAGGGGGTAATGACAGGAAGACTACTGGGAATGAAAGATTTTAGAGGGAACCGGAAACCCAATCCTATACAGGCAACAAAGCCTCTACTCCTGATCAAAAGACCGAGGAAGAATCTGAACTGGACGATAGGCGAACCTATCTACTCCTAAAAACAAATAGATAGTAAATAAATTTTCAGAGTTTAGGCGGAGACGTTAGAAGTATAGAGTTGAAGTAGATTTTAGAAGGAGCGGGGAACCCAATCCTAAACAGGAAACAATGGATAAACCTCTACTCCTATTCAAATACCGAGTGGAGTGTGAACTGGGCGATAAGCGAACCTATCTATTCCAACTGAGGAGAGAGAGAGAGAGAGAGAGAGAGAGAGAGAGAGAGGAAGAGAGTGAGAAATAGTAAATTAAATTTCATAGTTCAGACGGTGACCTTAAAAGTAGAGAGTTGAAGTAGATTTTAAAAGAAACGGAAAACTAAGTTCTAAACAGGAAACAAGGGATAAACTTCTATTCCAGTTCAAAACATGTCACCTATTTTGAAAGTCTTAAAGAATAATTCTAGTGAATTCATTTTGAATTTATGTTCATCTCTTATGTACCATGTCTCTTCATGACGTATCCAGTTATAGCTCTCCACAGCTTCTCATCCTTGTAGCTCTTAGTAATGTTTATCTTCTTACTGCCTTTTCCAGTCCCTGTTCTAACAACCAATTACATAAGCTCGTTAGTCAGCCTATTCGACATTTCCTTCTGCCCCTTCAAGATGTCCTGTGATAGTCAAATTCTTCAAGTCTTCATTCTTCATTGTATCCCAGGACTTTCTACTGTCTAGCGTCTTTTTGTTTCCATTTTCCTTAAAACTTCCTCATTGTTCACATGTCTGGGCCATGGTATTCATAGCATCCTTTTGTAGAGACACATTTCTGCTGCCACTTGATTTATCGTCATTTACGAAAGATCTGCCTAGCATTCATTGTCATATCGGAGGATTGGTATGACATGTCAGTTCAAACCTCTTTTCTTTGTTTCTAGTGAAAATTTCCTCTTTCTTAATGTTTTGTTTAGCTTTTGAAAGGCATTTAATCTATTCCCCATAAATGCTTTTCAAAAGAGTAGTAATTCAAAAAAAAAAAAAAAAAAAAGGTTTTTACCTGTCGGGTTATTAGTGTGCTTGTAAAAGATTGGATGCTCACCGGAAGCTTAAGAGTGATAAACTGAGAAACGCTCATTAATTTGGATATGAGAATTGCTCAAATACCTTACGGAAGTTAATTAAACCCAGAAGATAAGAAAGTGTTATATTTTCGAAATTCGATTTTAAAAAGTTCGTTTTTAAGAAAGGAAGAAATAAGCCTTTTCGGGCTAACGTTCTTAGCTGACATCAAGTGGAAAGACTGTATTGAAGCCATTGCTAGATCAGTTGGTCCATTGTGTCGTGCAACACAATTTTTCTCCAGAATCTATCTTACATAGCTTTTTCAGAGTTTAGGCGGAGACGTTAGAAGTATAGAGTTGAAGTAGATTTTAGTCTACCATTCGTTCATTCTTTTTTAAGCATAGACGAATGGTAGATTTACTATTATTCTATTACATATGGTCCAGTTCGCTTGCTATTTACCTTGAGCTTCTTGGTAAAAATCCACAGACGAATCAGCAATATTATTGGTCCTGATCTGGCGGCTCGGCTTCAATCTTTATCCTATCGTTTTAAGGTTGCCTCTCTGTGTCTTTTCTATAAATACTTCAATGGTAATTGTTCGGATGAGTCCTTCGCTATGGTATCTAGGCTTTTTAAAAAAATAAGTGCAGTACTAGACTGGCGTCGAGATCTCAATTTACATTTGAGATGGCTAAATGTAGCCATAAATTCTATGCTAACAGTTTTTTTCTCGCACTTCTCGCTTGTAGAACGCCCTTCTGGGTCCATTTTTTTCCATCCAACTTTAATCTCAAAAATTTGTTCATAG